TAGCTTTTACTTTTGGTTGACATGTTGTCCTTTTACTTGGACTCGGGTATAAATGTCTAATCATGACACAAGTTTTTAGTGTTATACTACAATTGATATGAATAAATTTTCCATGTTTGTTTAAATGTAAACTAGTATTTAGCCCGTGCAATGCACGGGTTAAGGTTTTTTTGCTATTTTTTGTCTTTAGCATTGTTCAATTGAATATTGAGATTACTCTTGGATTGAATTTATGCCAAAATACATGTGTACATAAAGATGAATGTTAGTAATTAGAAAGTAAGCATAATGCAAGGAATCAATCTATTACCTCCGTTAATTTTTATGTGCAACTTTGGAATATTTTATATCTCACAAATAATACCCCAAAGTTGCACATAAAAATTAACAGAGGTAGTACATTTAAAAAAAAAATTCTATAACATAGTAACATACAATAGCAAATACTTTTACAATATTGGAAATCCAATATTTTTACAATGAAAAGAAATTGGTACAATCTTAGATATAAGCATCCAACTATGACACTTATTCATCTTTATGATATGTATCTCTTTTTTTGGGGAGAAAAAAAACAACAATTTCAAAAAAAAAAAAAAAAAAAACCTACAATAATTGATTTTCTCCCCAAATCACAAAATTGTCTGACATTGTAATAGTTATTGTGTTGTTCAAGGCTTCAAGATTAGTTAACCTGGAGTGCTCTCTTGTTTGTATTCAATATACACATTAGATTCCTTACTGGATGTCTTTTCCTTGAATTAGTGGCAGCTGAGGACCCTTGAGGTTTATGGCACCTTTGTAAGTTGCTATAAACTACATATTGAATTAGACATCGCCTCATAATTAGCAAATAAATTTAGTAAGCTGTAAACTCTAATATTTAAACCATGGAAATTGAATTGCGAACAACATTAAATAAATACTACATAGTACATTCTCTATGAATCTTCAAACAAAACACAACAAAAAAAAAAAAAAAACTTATCCCTACACCTTTTAAACAACCCTATAATTCATAACTCATCTAACAGAAACTGGTATCTCCAAATAAAAACTCCTCAAAGAAAAAAAAAAAAAAAAAAAAAAAAAAAAAAAAAAAAACCTAAACCAACCCCTTAAATCTATATTCCTATACTAAAGTGTAATTTTTTTTACTGGGGAGAAAATGATACTACGTATATTGGACTCGCATCCAATGACATTATGCCAAACAAATACTGTAGAGTAACTTATATTTACTCAATTCGATCAAAAGTTCATAACTACAAGTTGAAGTGAAAATAGAAAAACTCCAATAATAATCTGTGCAAACTGATCACCTAGTCGAAATTTCGAGTCGAAAGCAAGAGTAATTGACAAACTAATGAAATTGATTTTTTTTTTTTTAAAAAAAAAGAAAGAAATTAAGAGCAAGAAAGTAACCTAAACCTGTTTCTGACATACAGAAGGAAGACTTCGGCTATAATCAAGAGGGTTTGGAGGAGAAGTATGAACACCAAGTTCGATCAAAACTAAAATTGAAGTGAAAATGGAATTACTCCAATAATGACCTGTGCAAACCGATCACCTAGTCGAAAGAAAGAGTAATTGACAAAAAAAAATTGAATTTTTTATTTAAAAAAAAAAAGAAAAAAAAGAAATTAAGAGCAAGAAACTAACCTAAACCTGTTGAATGTGATAATCGATAGACACATACAAAATCACAATATCTCAATTGCAGTTAAGCAACACTATGAACCCAACAAGGCCACAATCAACACATTGAAATCATCACATTCCAATTCTTCAAAAAACACACCCAATTTTATTCATAGATTTTCGTATCTAATTTTTTTATGAAAAAATTGAATATCTCAACCGTATTATTATTTTATTCAATTTTGGATTATGAAGAATAATGACAAAGAAAAGGTAAGAATTATAGAATTTAATATAATTAAAAAAACCGATGATGCAAACTGAGTTTTGTAGAAGATAATAAAATCATCACAAATTGCATCCGTTTTCTTCCAACATAATTCAGAAAAAACCAGAATTTAAAAATCAATCAATTTATTTAATCAATAAATTCATCAAAATTAAATTTAATTGCACAATCGACGCGAAAAAAACATAACCAAAAAATTACAGAGAAACACACCTTACTTCGTGATATTTATGACCATAATGGCAAACAAAAAATGGCAAAAGTAGTATAGATTATGACATAAAAACTGTAAATTAAATTGCCCGTCAATCCCATGATCAGAGTGCAAAGGACACATAAAGGAAATGAAAATTTCTGACAAAATTTATAGACATTAAAATTGAAATTTACTAAACATATGAGAAATCAAGGGGAAAGAAATTTATAACTAACCTTGAATAAATTAAAGAGATTACCTGGAGGGTAGGGAAAAAGGATTGCTCGGGTAAAAGTGACTGATTAGATAAAAATTTATGAATAAAAAAAAATAGTGAAGGGGAATAACGTCGTTTGATAATCTTAGACAGGGATTGAATGAAGCGTTGTTTGGAAGAAATAGAAGGATAAACCTAGGGAAAAAAACCCTAAGAAAAAAATTGGCGACGTGGCACTCTATATTTTGTTTTAATACTTTTAAATTCCTGTTTTAAAATATTAGTATGGATTGAAGTTTAGTGTTCGATATTCATACCCGTATTAAAGTGTCAAAGAAGTAATGATGTTCTTGTGGCTCTGCAGCCTGATATCACAGCACCAAGAGTGAGTGTCTTAGCTGCATACTCTGAAGCAGTAAGTCCAACAGAAGAACCATGCTGGCGTTCTCAAGACTCTGCACCCAATATGGAGCCCTGCCGCAATAAGATCTGCTATAATGACTACTGGTAACTAACCCTACAACCCTTCTTCTGATCCACTTATGATTCGAATGAAGTCATTAACATATGAAAATAAATTATTAGCCTATATAAGGGAAAAAGAAGGCGATGAGAAACGAATGTCTCAAGAAGAAATGCTCTTGGAAGCTGCCCAAATATATTCTATCTTTTTATTCTTTCTTAAATAAGGTGATGAATGGACTTAAATACTTAATGGTGGGAAAGGAGCTTGTGATATTCGCTTCTTTATCATTGATACATTGCAGAATCATGAATTTGAGGCACTTGGAGCGTTTATTATCAAGGGAGAAGGAATGAGTACAGAACTATTGTGCATTAGCTATCTATTCTGGCCTAAAAATCAGTTACCATCCGAAATGGCAAGTTTTTCTTCACTTTTAGCTATGATTACTGGGCCCCTTTGATCATTTTACTCATTTTGCGAGAGTATGTGCCTATCGAATTCTGCAATCTATGTTTAAGTCATCCAACCTAAGCAGAGCTAATTAGTGTTATTTATCACTAATATTATCTATTGTTTAGAGGGAGGCCAGGGATTTTATAATCTCTGCAAGCATGAATGCATGATGCTTGAGTGTCACGGTACTTAATTTTCTCAATGGCTCAAGAACACTACAGATATCGTAACTAAGTTTTGTTGTTTTGATGGTTTTCTATCACAGCACTTTAAAGCCATTTTGAGCAAGTATTCTTGCTTGATTAATCGGTCAGTCTCCAGCTGAAATTTTTATTATAAAGTCAAGCTTATCTTTCAAGGCACACTTGACATCCTTCACAATTCCTGGAGCAATTATACCAGTAATGAGTTGTAGAAATATCATTCCAAATGAATATATAACTGATTTTGATAGGAAACTCCAGTTTCAAGTCAATATACACTAGGATACAGTACAATGTTGGTTTTTGATAGGAGTCTCATTTTGTGGGATAAAAAAGAAGATGCCCAAGTGACCAAGTTTGCTCTTAAAATTGGCATTAAGGACCTTACTGAGCTCTAAGTTCCCATGGAAAAGTGGAGGGTTACTTTTATGAAGGAAGATGAATGCAGAGCATAGTTCGATTACAATACAAACTTGAGTTTGCCATTGCAGAGGGAGATCAAAGGGAATATCTATCAAGGTTAATATTTTTCTTCTTGCATGTTTCATTTTCTATTTTTCTATTTCTAACCTGGTATATTCTATTGTTCGTCACTGTTATAGCAAAATAATCAAATAGATTCTCATGTGGCCAGTGACATGCATGCTGCATTGAACTTGGATGATGGATTATTGGATATGATTTTGTTGAAACGGCTATCACTTAGAGTCAGAGTATCCCAAAACAGAATTATATACGGCTATCCCTATTGATCTCGACAATAGTTATATGATAATTAGCATTTAACACTATAAGTTATATTCTTTGGGGCCATTGACAGGTCTGATGTAGGAATCCATGGAGGAGGATAAATCTGAATGACTGAACCACCCAACAGATGTATGCAGCATCATAAACAATCTAAGAAGAGACAATTATTGAATCTGGTATGAGATTGAGGATCACCTAGGATCTGACCTCTATCAAGAGCAATGTTAGCCATTCACCCCTTGGCAAGCTCTGTTAAGGCATGACTTCTCTATCTTGGTAATTAGTTAATAATATGCTAAGTTGGATGAATCCTTTTTTTGCCTTCGCTAAAACATTTACTTGATTGATCTCTTGATTTGAATGAGATGTTTGTTTTTTATATTTAGCTACATTGGAACCTTAGGTGCATTGTTCTGAATATGGATTTTGATTGTCTGTTTTATCTCTGGTGGTCAATTGATATTATAGAGTTCTCATCTAAGTGACTATTAAGACTTTAGAATATGAGCATGTGATAGTGTGATACTCCATATTCCTTTATCTTTACCATTGAATGTGGTTTTTAGAATATCACAAATAAGTGGAAATGATTTATTTCGTATTTTTTTTTAGGTTTGGCTACTATTTGATTAGTTGAAATCGAATATTCTCCTGATAATCACTCGTCTATTTCGTTTTTAAAATTGTAAATATTTTGTTCAATTAATATTTGTATGGTATACAATCGGATCGATTACGTGCTTTACGTGTGCGCCATCAACAATCAGCACGACTCTTTCTCTACTCTTTGTTTGACATCTTATACGCTGCTCCTTTGATTTGCCGGTCCGCTACTGCTCACCTTCATTATTATCCTCTTTTTATTTGATTGTTTTTAATTTTATTTTAATGTTGCATTGTTCGTTGAATTATAATAATTGTATTTGCAATTATTGTTATTAAATTTTTAGAAAATTAAATTATTGGGTAGGTTGAGGAATTTTGAAGCTTTGGTTTGTGATTATTATTGTGTTTTTGTTTGGAATTTTTGATAATTGAGCTGTATTTTTTGTTAAATTTCTTTTTAATAATGAAGATATTATGATAAATAAATTTACATGCTTTATGAAAGATGATTAAAGTAATTAAATTTCTTATTGGGGGAAGCATTGAGCGATTCAATATTGAATAGAATGAATGTGAAGTTATCGAAATATTGAAGTAGTTCTGAAGAAAGGAAGGATGTGCATTTAGTTAAGAATTCGAAGGTGAACAGAAGAAATCCTTAGAAGGAATTAAGATCCTCCTTACAGAAGATATTTAGAGAGTGGCTACAATAATGCTAAAAAAAGTAGGAGCTAGACTGATGGGCTGTTGGATATGGATTACAGGTAGTAAACACTCTCAAATCCTCTCTAAATAATGCCGAAGGATGCTGCAGAACATCTCCCTAGCTTACTAGAAGGAGCGGCAAGTATAACTCCAACTCTAAGCCGGAACTTCCCTCCATTTGGCTTAATTCTGATGGACCGTTGGGTAATACACTTCATTTTCTGATTATTCGATGTATTCAGAATAGTTAATAAGTTCCAGATTAATATACTCCTTCCGTTTCATAATGATATTCCTGTTTACGTAAATCGATGCAAATTTTTACCTATCTTTGACTGCAAATATCTTTAGTATCACATCTATGAAGCAACAAAGAGATTTGAAGAATGGAATCAGGAACAAGTGTCCGCATTCCAATTGTTGCATTGACGACACACGCAATATTCGTAAAATGTGTATAGGTGGATCCAAGTGTTTGCAAGAATCCAAAGTCTAACTTTTGTTTATGGTGATGATATAACCATGGGCTATTAAAAAAACAAAATAGAGAAAAAAGGGGGTATACCTTACTAGCTTTAGTGCTCTTATAATTTTTAACTGGTTCACAAGTTTTAGACTACAACTTTTTCTTATTGATTCTTTTCGAAACTTGCTTCATTTTGGAATTTTGAAACAGCAATGTCTTACTTCTTGGAAATGAATAAGAAATCAATTTTGGATATTCTGCTGTAGTAAAAGCTAACATCATATAATTCATATCTTAATTGTTCAATGACAACTTAGTTGTCGTTGAAATATGTCAGTAAGCCATTCTTAAGTTCAATAGTTGGAGTTTCCTAACTTACATTGTGGCTACTTAAAGATTAATTGTCCCTTTGCAATATTTTAGGTTTCTCTACTCTCATATTCATTCTTCTACTGATTTAAATTGAGCAACCACAAGGTGTTAGTGGCAAAAAGTTGTTTATATATTTAGAGACTAACAGGTGTGGTTAGATTGTATTGAGTAGAAGAATTTCTGTAGATTACAATTTGAAAAATTGAGGACAAATTGTATATAACATGTTCCATTAGTAAAACTAAGGTAACCTATTACAAATTAACCCTTTTATCATTCGTTGAATACTTAGATAAAATATTTAATATTAGAAGATAAATTTTGTTTTTAAAATAAGAAAAAAATGAAGAAAAAAAAAAATACGTATATAGTCAATCAATCGGTTTTAACTTTCAACTAACGAGCCTTAAAGATCATTATTTACTTAGAATCATCATTAACTTATTGATTAGCTCGCAATAAATATCAAAATCATTTTTGTAAAGGGACCTTGCAAAATGAAATAGTACAGTATTGTATAGAATGCGAAATATTTATACAATTTCAAAACCATATCAATCTAAAAGAGGTTTCAATGCAAGAGGGAAAGAGGAGATGGACTTATTTGAAATAAGTGATAAAATGAGAGATTGGGAGGAGAGTAAGTGGAAATTGATTTTATAATATTAACAAATCTAAAAACTAGGAGAAAGAGTACTGAAAAGAAAAAATAAAAATGCTTTGATCATTTTTAAATTAAATTTGAAGACAAGATGTTGATCATCTTTTAAAAAGAACACCATTAGTGTATAGTAAATTTTATGGAAAACAAAAGCAAAAGGAAAACTTGCAATTAAATTTGTTATGAAAATATGCTAAATCGTAAAAGACAAGTAAGAAAAATTCTTAATGAGAAGAAGGGAAAATTTCAAATTGAAAAATAGTTTTGAAATTTGTAAAACCTTAGAAGATAGGGGAGAAGATAATGGGAAAGGAAAGCAATAAAACAAGTGAGAGATACGATAAGGTGGGTTTTAAAGATGACAGTATTAGAAAGAGTTTATGGTAGATTCATGCTAGATTTATGCATAAGTGTTTTTTAAGAAAGAAGAGGGGGGGGGGGGAGTACAACCTGTAAGTAAGATTGAGATAGATAAATTTCTTATAAACGTGAAACAAAATGAATAAGGTTCATATGAAAGTAGGATTTCTGCAAATTTGTTAAAAAAACAAAAGAGAAAGAGAATAAAAAAGAGATTACTAAATAAAATAAATATTACTAAAGAAGGTTAATAGAGTACAACCACAACCGTACAAGTAAATAAATACTCCCTCCGTTTTTTTTTTTAAAGTGACACACTCTCCTTAAACGACCGTTTTTTTAAAGTGACACACTTCCTCTTTTAGAAATTCCTTACATTTTAATAATATATCTTCACACCACTATCTCTTACTTTATCATTTCTCACTCCTTTCAAGGTCCCCACTTTCTCTCACATTCTTTTACTTTATCATTTCTCACTCCTCCAACCTACCCCACTAACATCTTATTTTATTAAAGTCAATAAAATCTCCTATAACTCCGTCTCAGTCATACTGTGTCACTTAAAAAAAATGGAGGGAGTAGGATAAATAGAAGATTTTTACCCCACGTTATAGCCCTAAGACATCTTTCGTAAAATAACACAATAACAAGATATCTATGTTATAATCAAAATCTTTAAGATAACTAGGGCTTTTTATGCACGCGATGCGCCCAATTTGGCTAGCCTTTTAAGGAGAATTAATTATTATTGGCAGGGGTGGTTGAGTGGTTATGAGAATGTGTAGAGTGGTCGATCGTCGCACAGGGCCCCCTAAGTGGCCCGGATTTTTGAAATTTACTCATACAAAGTAAAGAGAAAACTTTTTAATCAATAATCTATTCTTCAATTTTATCATTGAATTTATGATTTAGTAACATATTTATCCTCAAAGAAATGATTTAGCGCCCAATTTAACAAAATTGCACTGGGCCACTTTCAGTGTTAGCATTTGTAGCCCCGCCGCTAATTACTAGTGAACTTTATGCCTTATTGTAGACACCCATTTGTGTCTCCCCAAAACCAAACCCAGTGATGAGTATCTTTCGCGTCGAATCATAATCGAATGAAGTGAAAGTGTGGAAAGTTTAGTGTTGCGGATAGTTTTAATTTCTTTTCTCTTCTCTCTGTTTTTTAAAACTTATTTTAAGAAAAACAACCAATCTAGTTTGGTTGGTCCATGATATGGGTCCAATAGTAGTGTAGTTAGATGGGGCTTGACAAGAGCTTTCCAACGATATATTATAAGCCCAATTCCGATAAATATTGAGGAAGTTATGGCCAATTTACTAAACTGGGCCCGGTTTGAGCCTTATATGCGACCCAATGATCTAGAGGAGGGCCTAATACAAATTTATCACTCCTAATACAATTAGAAATGGTTTTAGTCTTCTAGATTCTTCTAGAAGGTTCTTTTCATTCCTAATTCAATTAGCATTGATAAATTGACTTTTGTTGACTTTTCAGAGTTTTAATTAAAATCAAAGAACGTTTTTTGAGGAAGATACGATTTTATCCTCCTGTACGGAAATTTCTATCTGATTTTAAGAAAATGCGTGAATTTCTGAATCAGCGTCAAACGCCAGCTGTAGCGCCTGGCGCTACGCTTGGCGCCTGGCGCTAATGTTGGCGTCTAGCACCAATAGCCAGCATTGGCACCAACATCGTTTTATGTGCGCCAGAATTCTATTTTGATATTTTATCTTTTTAGCTGATTTACTTTATAAATAACGTGCTAAAAACTCCGTTTTGGAGAACCAATTTTCATTCGTCAATTCTCACCAACTCTCATCAAGATTTCCTTGATCTCTCTTTTTCTAAACTAGCTTCTCACAAATATACAAAATTCCGCATTCATTAGATCTAGATACACCTAGCCATATTCGAAGTTGCCTTCGCCCTAGACGTGAAAGGTTTAATTTCTGAGGGTTTGGTCCCAAATCTCTCTTTCCATTATTTGGTTTAATTGTTTTGTTTATTATTTTCCTTGAAGTTACTAACGCGTGTATTTTGTTATTAGAAAGAGGTACGAGGCATCAAAGTAAGTATTCTAATGATTTTTATGGATGTTATGATATAGAGTTCATGCTTAGGTTGTTATTATGATTTCTAGTATCATGTCTAGGGTAACTTTAATACTAAGTATGATTGTTATGATGCCTCCTATTTTCTTCCTAATATTTATGATTGTTAGTATCATGTTAGGGTTAAAGATTTGATTTTTATTGCTTAGTGACATGCTAGGGTTTGTTATTAATCTTGTTAGTATCATGCCTAGGATCTTGCTATTATTATGCTTTAACATGATTTATGATTATTAATTATGATTATGATTATTTTTATGATTCATGATTATGGTTTATGATTATTATTATTATTATGATGATTATATATTATGTTGCTTGATATTATATTTTATTTTAATTGCTTGATCACACCTTTTATACATGTTTAAAGGGAATTGGTACTTGTAATCACGCTTAATAAGATATTTAATATTCTTGTTTAGGGTTAATTTGATTATAATTCAAGTGATCGCCAATAATAGTTTTATTTGTGCATTAATATTCAACCAACATAGATTAAACAGGTTTAGGGTTAACCTATTGATTGTATGTTAATCAGAAAGCGCACATGAATACGATCAGAATAAAGTAGAGGCCTATTATTAGGGCAGGTTCAATCTCTTTTAGGTTGGATTTGTACCTTCATCATATCCCCGAACCCTATTTGGTTCAAGACCTTATGAAGTTGACGATCTCTTGGATCGTTAAGGGGTGTAACCTTCACCTCGTGAACGGTTTACAAGTTCCTAAAAAAACTTGTTGGCGACTCTTTTGCTCTATCTTCTTTCCCTTTGGACGCCACCGTACTTTATTGTATGATCACAGTGGGGTTCAAGCTAGGGGATTAACGCTTGAAATATTCCCTACACTTATATCCAAATTTGCATGGTATTTTATTATATCTATTTGCATGATAATTTTAAGTACTTATTGAGATGAATTGAATAAATTAAACAAGTAATCATACAATTATATACTTTATAATTTTTGTACTCCATATATATTAAAGTTAATTTAGAATACTTTGTATTAAATAGTGTTTATCATTCAAATAGAAAAACCGAAAAAAAATATGGAGAGACTAAAAGATGCTTTAAATATTGAAATAAACACAAATAATTAATCAATTTCGATGATTAAGAGGCAATCTTAAGGTTTTTGAATTCATGAGGGAAAATATGTAAAAGAACATTTTTAGGGATATAAATGTCCATGCCATTATTCATAAGAATTTTCTTAAACTTTTTATAAGGTAAAGGAATGTTAAACAACTAAAAATTAATTGTAACTATGATAAAAATTATTGGTTACCTTGTAATAAACACTTTTAACAAGCTAGATTGGAGAGAGAGAGAGAGGCTAGGAGAAAAATAAGAAGGAAACTGATCCCTCTATCACTCCCGACTTCTCTTTATCTTCGTCTTTCT